GTTTCAAAGTCCATGAAAGGTCATCAGGGAGAATGTTATCATAGTCTATTATGATAACGATATGAAACTAACTGGGTGTGCAAACAGCTGAACTAGACTAAAAATACTGCGTAATTGGTCCTGAAGTTATGTAAGCATAACTACCTTATGTGTTTAAAGTAGAGACGTCCTTCACGACTCTTATTACAACTTATATCGCCGTCTCTAAAAGGACAACTGTGAAAAAAAGGCTCTTTTAGAATATCACAATAAATCATTTCATAGCAGCTCTGAGAAGCTACTTTAACAGTGACTGAGAGGCTTTCAGCTCCCCTTACATTATGACACTGCAGCTCATACTGTATCTGCATAGAAAATGACACACAGTAAGAGACATAAATATAGTCTGTAAGTGGGACAAGCTGCCTGGCTGAACCTACTGATAAGCAGAGAAATAAGAAGGTGTGGGAGGTACAATTGGTTAGTAATCTAACAAAGTCAAACCAGTGTCTCAGCAAGTTCGTGGAGGCCTGGATACATTCATGCAGAAGTCACTTACACTTCAAATCACTAATGCAATCCAAAGAAGGACTTCTCGTACTTCAAAGATAAACATACGGTCTCCAGGGTGCTTTCATTACTTAATCAAGGACTAGAAGAACTTCATCTGTAATCATTTGCTATTCAATAAATGTTCTGAGACAAAGTGTAAATGTCCTTTGTTTGAGAAGTCTGATATCCCTCTCATGTATGTACCACATAAAGCTATAAGTCAGCAAATGCTTAGCTTAGCAGAGGATTGAACCCTGGGAAACAGCTAACTTGCCTCCGTCTGAATTCAAAAATGAAAATCTTTGATTTTCCAGGAGGTTTTGTGCGCAGCTATAGCTTCACTATAGGGCTGCCACAAACGATTATTTTGATAGTCGACTAATCAGATCATCATCCATTGGACGTAAAAGTACAGCTTATTGCACCAGCAGCATCTGATCTTATATAACTATCATTAGCTTACAGCTTTAAGTGTTTAAGGTATGTGCTAACTAAAAATAAA